AACGAAAGTCATTTTTTGTGGGGAAAAATAAGTTTTTTGTCGAGCTTTCTTAGGTATTTTCACCTTCCACAATCTGAAAAATATGAAAATTATAATGGAGAACTTTATACAGTTGTAAAAAGGGCAATTTTTTACAAATGTCGACCTTTGACGGAGAAGTTGAGAAATGAAGAATCAGCAAAGGAGTAACTGCATATATCTTATAATTTTTGTGCATTTCTCCGAAAAGTTAAGATAAGTATTGTATTATTTCTTAGCAATTTTTTTTGATAGGCAAAAAAGGTAAATACAACAAGTTACTGATGTGTAGAACATTTTTCTTCGTGAAAAATATTTTGATTTTACGCAGTAAGTTATCGTGGAGAGCTGAAAAGTTTGTCCTTTCTACATATGTATGAAGTTTTCCATTATAATTTTGAATAGAACTGGCCGATACTTCTCACCATAAAGGGTTTAACAAAAACCACGAGACGTGTTTCGCGATACAGTAGCTTCCTCAAGCATAATCATTTGTCCATTTATGCCTGAGAAAGCTATTGTATAGCGAAACATGTGTCGCGGTTTTTGTAAAACCCTTCATAGTGAAAATCATACAATAAACTGTATTCATAAGTTTTTTATTCATTATAATTTTCATATTTTTCACATTGTGGGAGGTGAAAATTCCCAAAATAGGTCGATAAAATAAGATAAATAAAACTTCCTCAGTTTTTATACCTCTTGTATCGTTCACAACGCAAGTGGTATAAAAACGTAGGAAGTTTTCATTTCCCAGTTTTCGTGACGATCTCCTACCACGTAGTAACAAACGGCTACATCCATCAATTCATTATGATATTTGTTTCAGTTCATTCGGAAAATTCGAGAAGATGTGAGCAATTTCACTCAGAGTAGTAATTTGAGTCGACGAACCACCCACCTGATGCACGCCTACGCACATTTTCATCGACCCATATACATTTCTAGAAAATATCACATTTCTTGTGACCTTACCTATGGAACTGAGAGATGCTTCTTCAACTACAGACAAACTGCTATTGTGGATGGTGAGATGACGTATATCCAAACCCAAAAAGACAAATCCAGGTAATTTTTTCAGGTTGTTATGTCTTAGTTTCAGATAAAAAATAACCAAAGACTTTCCCTTCAGCACGCCCATTGCATCGTTGATGTGCTGTTGGTCGGTGAACTCGCACAAAATATCCAAACCATTTTTCTTGACCGTGCAAGTACATGGTGATATTTCTCCTCGCGGAGGACATTGCTGTTGCAACTGAAACGGAAAATATACAGAATTAGTATTCAGTTTAGAGTTCCTCAGATTGTGTATATTTGGAAACAATGAAAACAACAATGTTCCAATGAAGAATCATGTATATAATAATAATTTCTGATACAAAATGATATTCTTGTTTTTATCGCAACTCAAGTATTTTTCTATACTCATAACAAATCATTAACGTCCGAAGATAAAGTCATTTAATAAGTGAAAATTTCCACAAATTGACATTTCCAAGGACTTGGTCTCCATAATTTTGATGTGCGATATAAATCAAACTCACTATTTTGCGTAGAATAACAATGTATATCGACAAGGTAACATTACTCACGTTTTGAATACTAACTCATAACAAACATCTTGCACCCTCTTTTCATTGAAAAAGTTCATATCAATCTGATAGATGGATCAATTGATTCACGGTCAATATTGTATAATTGGGTTATAAGGGCTTCGAGGACCGCTGTTATATGTGGCTTATTCGCATATTTCTGTAACTCAAGAAAACCCCACAAGACAAAGTCTAACGTAGTCTTCCTCAAAGTGGGCGATAACGCCCCCTTGTGAGCGCTGGAGGTCTATAGGGGGGCAGTAAAGGGCACAGGGAAGATTGATGGGGGTTGAGGCGGTTTAGGGGGGCGATGGCTAATTTTTCGACAGCCATCTTGATTTAAGCAGGTTGGAGCCTGGCTCTCCTACCCTTAGGACTGATGCTCGTCAGAAGGACGAGAGGGTCAATGGCTAATTCCAAAATGTTGTTTTGCTTTCAATAC